GAACCTCAAATGCAATTTATCATTAATAAACACAATAAATCTCAGTTCTTATGACAGAATATGATCCCTGACGGATTGGTTCAGTTCTTAAGCCTTGTCATTCTTCTTTTTTTCTTTCTCTTTCTTTCTTTAAATGAGTTCCTGGAAGCCTTTAAATACGTTTTGATCAAAACATCAATGTTATAAGAGGCTTTAGCTTCAGTCCAGTCTGTTTCTTCTGGACCTTTTAATACGATCTCTCCTAGAAATGGTATCATATTGATCTGCATCTTTTTTGACCTGCATGATACCACCACCACCGTGTTTCGCCTTAGGAATAGTGTGCTCCAGGTGATGTTATTCATGCGTACAAAAAAGTTTCAATAATTAAGCTCATCTTTAAATCTAATTGGTAAGATTTGTTTTTTATTCAGGAGTATTAACAGATATGAGGGTAATGCACGTTACTCTTAAGATTTGTGTTAACAAAATAAAATAAATGAAGGATGAAGTAGATGGTTGAAGAGGTGTGTGGTTTTAATGTGGCGATGCAGCATGATAAGTCTGCATTGATCAGACTATAAAGATGAAAACATTCAGTATAAAGTCAGAAGAAGATGCACTGATGCCAGTTTCTGCTTCTGTTTGACTTGGCAGGCTGCCTCACAAATGTCCCCAGCAGAAAAACGACATGTTAAACTTGTCTACATATTTCAGATTGAGATATATATATATATAAACTTTGCAATCAATCATAGCTAATTCTCTGTAACAAGCTTCTTTAAGTTCCTCTTCGATCGACTAGCAGCATTTGGTAGACTCTGTTTCGCTGCGTCAGACAATATCTAGATAAGGACTGACATTTTTTACTGCGTGACTCAAACTAGTTCAGCGTTACGGAGCTGAAGGCCTTCAGTGGGAACATTCTCAACACTTCCCTCATCAAACATTTAAAGAACAACAGGCTCTGTTGCTGACCTTTATGCTGCTGTCTGCTGCGCGCTCCATCTTCAGCAGCCACCTCTTCCTGGTTGGGTTGTTGTGAGATGTCGTGCTGTGCCATGGTGTAGGAGGGGAGAAGCAGAGTGGGAGGAAGGAGTGAGGAGGCGGCTGGTCAGGACAGCTTGGGAGCCGGCTGCAGGCTGGGAGGGGGGGGTCGCTGCCCTCGGCCTCCAGATACCGGACAGAGCCTCAGGTCTGCCATCAGGCGGGATAAAGTAGACCGGTTGGAGCTGAGCATGGAGGGAGAGGACGGTAAGGATGGTGCTAAAGGTGGAGGGGGTCCAAACAGAGAGGCAAAGGAGGATTTAAGGGCGGACAGTGGGGGGGGGGAGCAGCTTGTAGCAGAGTTGGGATGTTTGCCTCCTCCGTCTGTCACACCGAGGCAGGAAGGCCTCTGCCAACATGACCAGCAGGGTAGGGGCATCTGCCCCAAACCCTCATCATCCTCCCCCTTTGTATCTAACCAGCTTCCTTCTTCCTGGATGAACAGTAATTTAAAGACTTTACCTTCCAGGTCCAAGATTTAGACACAATCAGTATCTTTACCCATCACTGCTTTACAGAGGTATATCCTGAATATCAGGGACTAACCTCTACCACCAATAAACAAGTCGTTGCTCATTTCCCAGCATCTCTGAGACGTAGAACTTTGTCTCTGTAGATGCTATATATACAGCAGATGTAGTTGACTGTGAGTGGCTCCCCGTCTCATTATCAGGAAGTGTTCACCGATTCTCTTTAGAGAGGAATGGATGAAACACCGGCCTGCTGGTGGGAAATGTTCAGGCAGGTTCATTCCCTAAACACTCCAGCCTCACACGCACGATCCCTCTAATCCCAGCGCTGTGAAAGGGTTCATTGTCTGGAGGAGCCCCTGTCAGAGAGGAGGGGGCGGACTAATTGGGATGTTGTGATGAACCTTCACACGGACGCATTCCTACAACTTTCTCTGAAGAAAAGAAAGCATTTTACACAGGGATGCTTTGTAGATGAAACAATGCTCAGAATAAAAACCAATATATTGAAATATGTTCGTGATGCAGCTGACTTCCAGTTGCAGCTTCTAACTTGTCTGACTAAATGTTTATAAAATCTTAACTAACTCTGCTGCAGCTTTTGTTTGCTGCTTTTCAATGGACTGGATCAACAGTTCAGAGGCAGAAGATTACAAACATATTAGAGAGATTTATTCAGTGTAATCATATCTGAGTGGTTAACAGAATAGAAATATAATATTATTAGAATGATATAAAGAATCCAAATCCTAAAGTAGTACAGGGAGCAATATTGGATTAGGAAAGGACTTCTGGGATGTGATAAATCCTTCCCTCGCTCCCAGACCCTGGGCTTTAGGTTTAGTAGCTGATGTTCTCACAGGGGATGGAGAAAACATGGTGTTATAGTAAAGATATTTACCTGATATCTGACTGCACTAGTTCCTTAATTAGTTGCTTTTCAAAGTTTCCACTTCTTATTTCAGCCATTTGGAAAATATATAAATATCAGAAGGTCACTATGAGCTCAGGTTAGATGGTTTTTCATTGCCTTTAGATATGAAATTATCAATATACAAATGTATGGCGGGACAAAAGTACGGAAGAGGATTAGGGCCACTGAAAAAAAAAAAAAGTTAACAGATTTTTAAATTTTATTTCAGTTTAGTATGGTCATAGAATTCTGACTGAATTCTGACAATAAAAAAAGTTAGAATTCTGAGATTAAAGTCAGAATTCTGAGG